CAATGTCACTCTGTTAATCCGTCAATGTCAATGTTTAATTGTCACATTCATAAATTTTGTTTTACTTTTTTGTACACCACTTCAATATACATTTTAGTTATTTATTTAAGCTAAATACCTATCTAGCGAATAGGGGAACTTAACGCCTAAGGCTTTCCTTATTAATTTTCTTTGATTGATCTTGCCAAGGTAGTAACAAGGTATTTTTGTATAAATACCTACACATTAATAATTATAGGTACGTAAACTTACAATTGTAGAGGCGGGTCTATTTGCCTGTAAGTATAAAATGTGCAGTTTTGACGATTCTGACTTATTTACACACATTGGTAGATAATGTTACTTCTGTATATATTTAAAGCTTTAAACGATAATTAAAACAGACTATAGGCCGACCCGATGTCCTTTCAATTATGTTCTACGAGTGCGGGTAACAGGTACTAATTAAATACGGCAATGTGTTTAGTTACCTCAATGCAAAAATATTACAAAGTTTATATGATTTTCTGACACATGATATGTTTGTTAGCAAAAGTCACATATTCGCTACTTGTCTATACTTTGTTTGTTTGTTACACTTTCACGTCTAAATCACTAAACCGATTTTAAAAGTTTTTGACTAATGGAAAGCTTCATTATCAGCGAGTAACATAGGCTACTTTTTACCGCGAAAACCGACAACCGCGGGCAGAGCCGCGATGAAATGCTAGTATTCACATATTAAATTACAATTTAATAGAAAAGTAAAAAGCCTTGCCTGTTAAAGGCTAAAATACTGCTATGTAGCTTTTTAAGGTAAAAGAAATTTGTATTATTCTAAGAAGTTACTAGTTAGTAATAAATAAATAAAAAATTCAAGTTCAAGTTCAGATTTATTGACTTACATAGGTGATGGCCTTAAAAGTACTAGTTTGTATTTTTTATTTATAATATATATATATTTTTATATGTCTACTAGCAATCGAAATTACTGGTATTCCCGTTTACCCCTCCCGCTAAGCGACATTATTTGTGTTAGGAGTGGGTTCACGTCGGTATTCGATTCACACAGGATTCGAACCTAAACCTCTTGATCCCAAGTCCAATAACACAACCACTAGGCTACCGCCGCTTTAGCCTTTATATTACCTGACAGATACTTTGAAATATTCCGCTACCTCTTTGAACGACGAATACCTTCGAACACAGTTTAAAAGTTTGACAAAAATCTGAAACGTTTAATTACTCTAAAACAATATTACATTCAAACTTACCTTTTATGTAATACGAGTACACCAACAAATGTTGTTTGTTGTTGCTCAGGGCTCAGTGGTGACCGGTTAGGTTAACACATTGAAAAGTTAAGCAATCCTAGCCAGGTCATTGTATAGATGGGTGACCATTCTTAACACATTGAGACCCCTCCGTATCTCGGAAAGCACGTTAAGCCACCAGTCCTAAATGTCATATGAACATCTGCGGGAATCGTTACGTGTAGTTGGGAACTCTAAAAAGTCCGGACTACAGTCAATCTACAGAACTTTGATATCGCATAGCTCGCAGCACCGTGATGTACAAACCTAAGAAATATAATAAACGTTCAATTTCAAAAATATTAGTAATAAATATATTATGAGTATTTTTGTGGATTTACGTAGGACCTCATTTTTCTCCCATTGTAAAAACTAAATGATTGCTCACTGTCCGTGATATTCAATTTGAGTGTTAGCATAATACCAGCGCTGGTTCTTGGAAATTAGCACAATGCTGAGCTAATGAATACTTTCGGGTCCTATATAAATATTTTTCGTTAGGTATACCTTTTACAACATTTTTTATTCGTAGTTTGCCTTTGTGTAGAGTACAAAATAAATGAGTTATCCTTCCTTTTTGTCACATTTAAAAACACATATTTACAGTTTGTACATATTTTATAAGATTATAAAGACTGCAATCTATTTTCTTTCTACAACGGAGAAACCAAAAAGTATATATTAAGACTGAGAGTACGAGAATAAACAAATATTGAATTTTTCAAACGTTCGATAAAACATGGCTGACGTAGCACGTAAATAAGTCTTTACGAATTAGGAAACACATCTTTCATCTCTCTTCAGAACGATTAGATATTCATAAGGCGCTCGCTTCTTCCCCTGTTTTGCCCGCCCAGCAATCAGATTTTAGCCATGATTTATTTTTGTATGAAAGAAAAAGTTCCACAGCTTCTGAGTAATAAGAATCTTTAATGCTGGAGCATCCCTTTTATAACTTTGTACATAATTTTAATTATAAAAAATGTTAAACAATGAATATTGTTCATAATCAGAAATGTCTTTTTATTCTGTCAACAATTTAATTTGAAGATTTAAGATTGTTTTTTTTTTAAGTCATTGGAGAACTTCCAAAAAGAGAAAACATCTGGTGTATTAGTAGCAACCCTTTCGCAGTTTACTCGTTCTGGAATGGAAGCGTTACAACCAAATAATAAAAAAATCACATTTTTATATTATTTAGGGTACTTGAGCTTTGAACAAGCAAGACTACAGAATTTAAAAAACAACTCTTCTGTACACAACACGCACCATAACATAAGAGTATTGTGTCAATGCTCAAAACCGGGGCGGTATAAATACAATGAGGATCTTGTGTCAACTAGGACAAATTTACGTGCGTTTGGCGATTCTGCCATATATATTATAGAAATCAAATAAAACTCACTTAGGACCCATAATATTTTATGACCAAATATTATATTTAACTTCATTTTGTCTGCAATCTCGCTAACGAGGGAAGTGGATTCATAATATTTCCAACTCCTCGAATTTTCTTGTGATTAGTTTTGTTGCGGGTTCCAAGACAGTTTAATTTTCCTGGGACTTTCCGAGTTCAAAACTTGCTGTGTTCGTGGGTCACTGCTGTTTATCCTGGTGTACAGAAGTTACAGTGGTGGGCGTGTGGGAGGGATTAGTCCGATATAAAAAGAGTATAATTTGAAAAGGAATTAAACAAGATAATTATTGTTATTGTCATAATTTATTATAAGCTACTGTTCTTTAGTTGTATATGTGATCTTTTGTTTATACTAACAAGTAAGTTATGTGATAGTCGACTGCCTCGGTGGTGCAGTGGTAACGTATGCGACTGCTGTGCTGAGGTCTCGGGTTCGATTCCCGGCTCGGACCAAATGTTTGTATGATCTGCAAATATTTGTTTCAGAGTTTGAGTGTTTTCTATATATAATATGTATGTATTTACGAAAAAAAAGAGTATATAAATATTCTATCAGTCAATCTAGCTTTCATGTTACAAGAAACTTGATGGCGTTGTGTGTCAATGTCCGAAATATTTTTATTATTCTCTTTATTACATTAAATATACATTTAAATTATATTTTTTTAATATATTTATGTAAAAAAAACATTTAAAATATAAAAAATAGTGTCCCATCGGATTCAATGTCCGAAAAAATATTTTTGTAAATCCTTAATAAAAAACAAATATTTTTTTAAAACTTTATTGTTTCTTTATAATGTTTATTACACATGTAATTATATTATACGGAGCATTGCACCGTTAGGTATTATCATACATACAACAAGTCGTAATACTATTGTTACTTGTATACAATAATAAACTTTCGACATAATAATAACTGGTTATATTTATCGAGATCTGCCATATTCTAATTCAAGGAAAACACATCTTATTTTATTTTTTTTCTTTATTTTACATCAAGACAGTTGAATTTCACAGATTTAAAACTGGACAGCTCTTATGTACAGATGTGAAAATAAATTTGTTTATTTTTTTAACGACAGCATCTGTCATGAAAGCACTTGATATTTTTTATAGGTAATAACGAGTTTTAGCAAACTTATGAGGACGGGGAGAGAGACTAAATAGGTATATATTTCATGCCAACAAGGGACGAGCTACTCGTTATTCTTTAGCTACGAAGCAACATAAGGTCACGAAGATCGAAAAGTGTTACGTATTTTATCATGTTACATTTATAGAAATATATCGGTCACAGGAAGTATATGAAAGTACACAAACAATTTTTGATTTTAAATCAGAATTGTTATCTAACTAATATTTATGTAAAATATTTTATCCTAACTTATGCTTATATCTATCTACTCCAATAGTTTTTATATACTTATTATACATTATTATGTTTTTTTATAAAGAGGTCTTATCAGAAGTATCATCGTCGTTAAAATTCGATATGCTTTGCTTGTTTTATTTTCTTTGTATTTTTTTTAGGTAAAGCGTTTGTTCTATTTTTAGATTGTGTTATTCCTGCTGCGAGTACTTACCAGTTCTTAATAGCCCCAATAAGACCTTTTTCTAGAACATTCTTATGATTACTATTTACAATATTGTTTAAATCCACAAATTTTACTAAAAACTTACTTACAATTTACATCACTTAAATACATAATTTTATGTCAAAGGCTAGATAGACTGCCTCTTATAACTTCAACTATATACATTTTCATATCTAAACATTTTGTGTTTAACGTAGTATTGTCAGCTGTTGTTACATTCCTGTTTACACTATCTTTATGTCCTTCCATTGGAATAATATTTTCATCATCATTTTCTAATACACATCTATTTTAAACAAGAATATCAAATTTGAATCTTACTCGCCAATAAATGTAATAAAAATTATTAGTTAAGTTTCTGATACGTTTACTTAAAATGTTACCTTCAAGTGTAACGATAAAATGACAGGGGATTTTATACGCTGGAAATTATTTTTTTAACTGTTAAGTAATACGATCAACACTTTTTATAATACACTATATACAGCACTATATGGAACAAGCAATGACTACTTGCTCATGGAATTTAATTTATATTGTACATAACACAACCCACACTATTAAAATAGCAAATTTATCAGTCAGCTATATTGACACATTTGGTCAAAGCCACCACCGTACGACTGTCAATACAACCGACTGGCTTCGATAAAATTCTCGTATTTACATTTAGTTGTACACTCGTATATGTCAAGAAAGAGTGAGGAAGAGGCAAGCTGCCAAAACAAGGCAGTGTGTAGGTGATGTCGGTGCAAACGCCTGTCCCCCTCGCTGCATTGCCGCAGGATACTCACCTGATAAAGGGAAAATCGAATTTGCTTCTTTGGCAAAAAATTAAAACCGTTCTCAACAATATTATTAGTCAATAAACTAATATAGAAGAGAATCAGATTAATATGGACAAAGTTTTTATATTAGTACCTACTAGTATTCGTAAACATTCAGTACTTTTTGTTTGTATGCCCGTAAATATAAATTTTCCTATCGCCGTTAATCATGATACATAACCTAAATAAGGAAGGCTCAATTTCGTTGATTCATTGCTGCAATGATAATAATCTTTAACCTTAATTATATTCAGAGCGAAGTTTTAGAAAAATTGTGTTTTTTTTTCTTTATCTCACAGAGTCGTTTATCAAGTAGACTGGGATGCTCTTTACGAATCTCCGTCGAGATTGAAAGATTAAGGATATTATAATTTATGATTTGAATTAAATAGGTTCAAGGATTCATTTTTAACGACTTCTTATTAAGGAATTTTAAATATTTCTAAGACTTACTTTGTTTACAAATAAAAAATTTGGCAGGAAATTTTAATTGGGTACTGGGTACTTTCAGTAATAACCTTAAATCTCTAAGATCTTTAAGCAAGTTTCATTCTTTTTTTTGCTTAATGAATCATTAGCATGAAACACATTTCAATCACTTTTAAATAATAATTTATATACTCACCATTGAGTACGTGCACCACTACGCTCTTTGACTGGGCGTTACTAGGATTACACTGGTACGTCCCAGAATCTGAAGGTCTCGCCTGTTGGATTAACAGGAATGATGTTGTCGTTTCCCCCTTCTCCGTCACCACCGACACACCCCCACGCGGCGAGTCGTAGCTTATTATCTGTACACATTTTATTCACTCCATGTTATATGGAAATGGGATTGATGCTATTTTCTAGATTGGATACATTTTCCTGTTTTTCATGTTACAAAGCTGTTGGATTAGATATATTATGGTAATCCAAATTATATTCTCTAACAAATAAGGTTACCTCCAGTTATATATCGAATGTTGGTTTAAAAACATTACCTGTTATGCTGAAGTGATTCTAAATGATTTTTGATGTTGCGCGCATGTTTTAGTCTTTTTGGAGGAAAAAGTCTAATTGACTTGAGATAATTTATTTTTAATTGTCACAAGTCATCCATGCTTCATATTTTATATTATATTAACATGTCTTATCGTCTTCCATAATATAGGTATTAGCCTAGTATGGAATACAGTTTCAGTCTGTTTTGTGATCCATTGTATTTGACTTTAGAGGTTTAAATTTTATGTCACATCTTTTTTTTGATTAATTTTCTGCCAGTTTAGTAATAAATATTAAGAACACGGTAAATACTAACCGCATCATTATGGTTCCAAAATATATATGCCGGCGGCTCCGGCGAGTACAGCACAACGCAAGTCAAATTGATGGTGCTGCCTCGGTCAATGTAAAGATCCGGGCCACCAATTATTTCCGTAGTTGGTTCTGGAACAAAATTTGACTTTTAAAGTCCTGGAACTAATGTTGTAATAGCTGTAGGAAAAAATAAACTTATAAAAGTATTTAAGTACAAATTTTAATACTAAACTTCATTAAAAAACATAAAATATTTTAGACCACCGACATCGGGTATAAGGACCAAGTTACCGGTGCTTAGGACTTTATAGGACCGTGTAAAGAAAAAAAAACTATCTGAATCAGTCCATTGATGCAACCGTCTAATATGAGATTATTAAGGCGTTTGTCAAGGCTCTTGGCTATTAATACTTATTTTTAAGCATGATCTTTTATGAGAATTTATTTGATGGCTAATTTACCCTACAGACGTGTCCAAAATCTGTCTTGTCTATAGTAATCAGCAGAAATACAATGCTTAAATGATAGAATCAGAGAACACCGATTACTAATCTAAATTAATTTAACAGTCATGGTCGTAGCCGTCTTAAAAAATCTACACATGTGTACTTGCTATTATAAATATTTTTTATTAGATTCTATAGTTAGCAATCTTAAAGCATAGTTATAATATTGTTAACCCCAATTATTGTACAAAAATACCATAATTTCAGCAGCTATCAAGCCTTGCGTTTCTTATTAACGTGAGGTCGTCGGCGAATTTTGTTTTTCTTATAGCTCACATAAGTTGCGTGCGTGCCTATAATACGTCGCACTTAATTAACCAAGTTGGCCAAACATGAATAACATAAACATTTTGAACCAAGTTCACCAACTTTGTGACGCAAAATGTCGCTTTGTATAACACAAACAGCTATGATAAACGTTAAATTAAAAGTTTATACCTTTGTTTATTTAGGTACGTCTCTGATATTTGACGCAATTAAGGGCCCTTGACTTCGACTTCAAGTGGGGTCTCTGCCCAACCCAAGGATTGTTTTAGCTTTGAAGGACCTTTCGGGTAAGACCCTTTTTTTAGATTTCATATATTGATATTGTGAGGGTATATGCTATGTTATACATACATAGAAACTTTTCTTTTCTCTGTTGTCCGATAACCGTAATCATTATTAGAAATTACAACACTATGATAATAAGGCTACTTAGTCACATTTTCTTCAGGTATTTACGAAGTTCAACTAAAACATCATTTTTTTAATTCCATACATTTATAGCAACAATAATATCACTTTTGTTAAAGAAAATTTAAATCTTACAACATTAAATATATTTATTAGCTGCGCTCCGCGGTGTTACCCGCGCTTTATCACACTCGAGACTCAGAGGAGCAAATATATTAGGGGCTAAAGTAAAAAGTTGTCGATTTCTACTGAAAAATTGAAACTCGTTATTTCGTAAGATGCAACATATTTGTTGAATCAAAATATTTACCCTAATTATCCATACATTGCTGCCATGTAAACGGAAATTAATTTATGTCTACGACAGAACTCTGCGGATATAGATTCGACAAACTGTAGACTGTAATGTAGATAAATAATACTTTAAAAAAACTAAAAAAACACGCTTTTATAGAAAATCCAACTAAAAAACAGAAAATAAAGTTTAATAAATTTGGATTAAGAATAGTGTAAATTTGATTAAGTTTGATTAAGTACAGTGTAAAAAAAAAATGAATGTACATTACAGTAAAAAAGCGTGGGGTGAACTGAATCAAATTTACACTATTCTTAATCCAAATTTATTCAACTTTATTTTCTGTTTTTTAGTTGGATTTTCTATAAAAGCGTGTTTTTTTAGTTTTTTTAAAGTATTATTTATTTTTCATTTTTTAGTTAAATTATTATTATTGATTATTGCATTGTCATCGACCTTTGACAGGTGTGCAAAGTTTGAATCAAATCTGATCGTTCAAAGTAGGGCAAAATCGAGCTCAAGGAGTCGGTTACATACAAACAAACATACAGGTGAAGCTAATAAAAGCGTGTTAAAAATAGCAGTCGTTGGAGCAAGATCTGGCAAGTACGGAGGATGACGTATGGTTTCTAACTGCAGCTCCTGAAGAGTTACAATGGCTTCTCGTACAGTCTGAGGTCGTGCGTTATCATGGAGTAATAATGGTGAAGATCAATTCACGAGTCGGGACTGTTTCACTAACGGTTTCGTCATCATTGTTCGGAGTTCGACACAGTAAACATCTGCTCTTATTGCCTGACCAGACCTGAGAAAGCTATAGTGAATAACACCATGAAGAGACAACCAAACAGTTACCATTACCTTTTTATTGGTAAGCTTTGCTTTACTGTTGCGGCGTTTGACCTGGAGTCAGCCATTGCATTTTTCGCTTACAGTTATCGTGAACAATCCACTTTCATTCGTTACAATTTGATCCAATATTTCCTTCATTTCTGTACCAATTCAACAAGGTAACACAAGTTTCAACACGATTTCTTTCTGCAGATCAGTCAAATCATAAGGCGCCCCATTTTTATTTATTTTTATCTTATTGATTTGAAGCAAAGGAGTCAATATGGTAAGTAGTGTAAAGTCAAACCATGCCGCTAATTCCTGGATATTCACCAGTGTAGGCAGTCTTAAGCGTGGTTCATTTTTCATGTCGAAGTTTCCATTACAAAAGCGTTTAAACCAAAAATGCACGATGCGTTCAGCAACAGTCTTCTCTCCAAACGTAGCGTTGTTATTGCGAGCCGTTTCTGCCGCGTTAGTTCCGCGTCGGAACTCGTATTCAAAAATTACTCGGATTTTCGAAGTATCCATCTTTCACGTCTAAGCTTAATAAAAAAAAAACAATTGAAAGTCGAAATTCGAATGTTACACATTTTTTTAAAGAAGAACCTCAAAAGTAGAAAACAGTTTCACACCATGAAGGTTTTATGTCAATTCAAAGTATCTATTACTATACACAATTTCATACTTTAACCCCTTTAATTATTTAAATTGCTAATTCCATTTAAAACTATATTTTTTCGGGATAAATGTAACCTGCATACTAATCCAGGGAATCAGCTACCTCCATACCAAATTTTATCGAAATTCGTCCAGCCTTTTGAGCGTTATTATGTAATGAACATTTGTACAAACACACACACACAAACTTTAGCCTTTATATAATTCGTGTGATTACTATCATACACATAGCCATATACATACATATACAGACTTATAGACAAGGTAACAAGATAAAATTACCATCAAATTTAAATATTTTTTTATATCTATATAATCAAAGAAAATAACAGTTTACTACAAACAAGTTTGCGCAATCAACACAGAAGCCATGATACAATCTTGTGAAGGGCAGGTTCTAAGGCTACATTGGGGGCACATATTAGGTTTATCTACAATAATTGGGATATTTACCGAGCACAATATAAACTGAACTCGTGTTTAAAATTCTAAATATATAGAATTACGTAAAGACAATAAATGTTAGCTTTATTTTGAGAGTCGTTAACTAGAATTAATTAAAAAAGTTTAGTATTGTTGACTTTAGGGCGGGTATGATATTAGAAACTTCGAGGTTTGAAGGGATTGTTTTCATAAGACGTAATATTAGACTGTAATGTTCAGCCAGGCGAAAGTCGCTCTAGATGCATCAATACGTTACCGAACTGATGTCATATAAGGAAGCATTTTAAAATTAAATTCAATAGAATACTTAGTCGTTCAAAAGTATGTAATTTCCTATTTAACAGTTTTATCCTTAAATATTTATTTTATAATTTAGTTCTTTTTACTCTAAAATTATTATAAATTATTATCTTCATATAATGGCAACATTTTTATTAAACATTTTGGCCGAATGTTGTTTTCAAATATGTCTACAAAAAATTGCAAATTTTCTTTTTTTTTGTTTTAATTGAGTTGAGCTAGCTTCTCGTGTTAGTGTTTTTTTTACCAGTGATCTGCGATATTATAGACGCTCTTCAATTTTCTTGCGATAGTTTGTTAGACGCTTCAGTATTTAGGCTTTTCTAGTTGAGATAGTGTGGATTTTTTTTTGTAAATAATTTTCCGACATTTCAAAGTAGTAGCACACTAAAAAAAAATATTACATATGTGTGAGTCAATATGTAAGGTAGTTTAGGACTCAGTATTAATAGATGGCGCTAAAACACGAGGACACTTAACACCGACAAGAGGACTCTTTATCTCAAATAGTATTACTGTCCTCTGTGTGTAGACATTCCGGTAGTCCTATCTCTAACAATGAACATTTAATTAATTAGGTAATATTCTCGTAGCTAACTATAATTACAGGTTGATTAATTGGTATTAATATAATGTATTAGTAGATTTACTTACCAACAACGTTCAGATGTATAAAGTGACTCATATGCGGTGTCGTAGATATTTGACACTCGTAAATGCCTGAGTCCCTGTGCTGCGGGTATTTAATCTGCAACAACAAATTTAAGTAAATATTTGTAATAAGTGTACTAGAATAGTATTGTTAGGAGCCGGGAATTAAATAAATAAGATTAGTCGGTTTATTACTAAAATTGCACTATAGTTACAAACACACTATTACAAACAAGAAATCACTTGATAACTCGTTAGCCACACTAGAATATCACTTCGATGTTAGTCCGCTGTCACGCAAATAATACTGTTCCGTACGGTCAACACGATCTGCTTTTAGGGCCACCGAAATTGCTAGAATAATTCCGTGGATGCGAATGCGATTTATTATATCCGAATTATAAATCAATATTACAACGCGTAGTGGTCGTTGTGCGTAACTGGATACTAGATGGCGCTGTGTCTCAAGATTCCATAATGCTCTCGATTGTTCACGAACTGGGCCTCAATTCTGCTATTTTATGTTCACGCCAAGTCAGTGTCATACCACTGACACGCTATTGAGATGCCATCGAGTGGCCATTGGCATCGGTATTAATATCGATAGTTGAAAATATATTACGTTTTTTGAGGAAATGATTTATTTATTTTTATTATAATAAGTTATTGAAATAAATAAATTAATTAAAATAAATTATTAAATACACAAAAATTATAAAAAAACGAAATAAAAACATTATTAAAATAAAAATTAAAAAAATATTATAATAAATAAATCATTTCCTTATAATTTGAAAATATATTAAAACGTAATATTATTATTAACGGAAATTATTGATTTATTTTGATATTTTTTTTATTTTTGTTTTTTCAATAAATAAATCATTTCCTCAAAAAACGTAATATATTTTCAACTACCGATATTTATACCGATGCCAATAGCTACTCGATGGCATCTCAGTAGCGTGTCAGTGGTATGACACTGGCTTGGCGTAATAGCAGAATTGAGGCCCTGACTGCTCAATACTTGAACCATTTAACCCTACGGCGTGTCAGTTTTCAAGAACGGGTAACGCTGCGACTCATATTCTGCATTTAAAAACTTTACTTGTTACTAGCTTATCCACGCAACTTCATCATTTTTTTTAAATATTTTTTCTCCGTTTTTGCAACATTTTGATCTTATTGGTCGTATTGCGATGTTATATAGACTGTAGCCTCAGCCTCAATAAACGGTCTATCCAACACTAAAATAATTTTTCAATTCGCATCAGTAGTTACTGGGACTAGCGGGTTCAATCAAACAAACAAATAAACTCTTCATCTTTACAATACTAGTATAGATTAATAAAAATAATTTAAAAAAGTCATTCATTATTAAATAAAATTTAACTTCATAAATTTCTTTAGTATAATTAACCCTGTATTGTATTATTTGCTATTTATAAGAAAATATTTTTCTTATTCTTGAATTTCGAATTTTGTTTTTTCCTAACTTATTATAATAATGTCTATTATGTACTTATTCCTTTTTCTTTGCACCCACGCACTACTAAGAAGAAACTTTAAGATAAAGTGTTTTTATAAAACAATGAAACGTTAAACTGAGTCTAGACTCAAATTAGCGATAGATAATTTATCGTTTTCACCAATTCTCTGAAAAGACTTCAACTAAAAGGGTAGGTATTATCTTAATATTAATAGTGCTCTTGTTCAGTTAATATAGAGGGACGGTATTATTATGTCTTCACAAAATTGTTCTCAACGTTCTTTAAATTTGGGTTATAATATTATACGTTTGAAACTATATTTTATCAAGTTATTATTACTAAATTGACAATGTTTATATCACTATGTATACGATCAGGTATTAGCCGAATAACAGCTCTACTTCCTTGTGAGGTGTGATTAGAAAAATATCTCCGCGATGTTGGGCTGTGCTTACTCAGACTTGTAACTCATTCACTTTTTAACTGCTGGACACAGGCCTCTCTTCAAAAAGGGGGTTTTGGTCTACTATTTTATTACTATAGAACTAATACTGTTCTAGTCGTGATCACAGACTGCCTGACAGCTAGCCTGTGAAACAGCCAGTGTAATCTGGTTAAAAGGTCAGGCATTTCAAAAGTATTTAATACCTATTGCTGTTCTTAATTCCTCAATCAAAAAATTATAATATCTTGCAGATGTATTTTCTATAAAGGTACTATCTTTACAATAATTATTTTGTAAATTCTAATATTTTGTAATACCTTCATATTAAAAAAAAATTAAACTGCTCATAGTAGGCAGCAGTGGGGGCCTACTAGGAGCTCGCGCGGAAATAATTCGATTTTCTTTACATTTTCACGGCTCGTATGTGCGGCGGCTACTTAATATTCTTTAGCACCGATTTTTTTTTAAAAAGGAAAGGTATTAAAAGCCTTTATTGTAGCTCCGAACGCGAACATTTTACCCAAATTTACCCTGTTTCTTTTAATAAACCGGTTTTTCGTACCTGATCGATTTTTTCAATAACTTACCACGAACTGATTTTTAGTCAAAATCTTGCCACGAACCGATTTTTTCCAGATTATCACGCTGAAAAATCGGCCCGTTTATTTTCTTTCGATCTGAACTTTCTCAGCCTGTACTGTATACGTATGAGCTCAAAGTAAATTTGTTTCGTTCTTGTTTTTATTTTTATTTTTGTGGACCGTAATCTTCAAAATCTAATAATAATAATATTCTACCACATTCACACATCGCCATCTAGTCCCAAACTAAGCAGAGCTTGTACTATGGGTACTAGACAACTGATATAAACACTTATATACTTTTTTTTTGTAAATACATACATATTATACATAGAAACACCCAGACCAAATCAAACATTAAAAGTTTATGCAAACAAATTTTTGACTTGAGCGGGAATCGAACCCGCGACCTTTAGAATAGCAGTCCGCTACACAAACCACTAAGCAATCGGGTCGCCTAAACATTCACAAAATCTAAAACTGTATTTTAAATTTATGTTTTGAGTTGTTCAACTAACCTGTCTCTAGGTACCTATTAATATTTTAAAATATTAAGATCTTCGATTTATAAAGAAACTAGACACAATAATAACGTTTATTACTCAATTTTCTGGTCTGTAGAAAGTAGAAACTGTATTTAAAACATCTTGTCTGAATAAATAAAGCTGTGGCAATATATATTATTTTGTATATTAAAACTTAGTATTTATATTGCATTGATAATTTACTTGGTTTTTTCTTTAAGAGCGGGACAGGGTCTGGGCAAAAGTTTGTTCCAACCCAAGGTGACCGCCCTTGGCTCGAGTTAATCTTTTGACCAGACCAGAGATAAGGGTTACCCTTTTATTTCCTGAGGATAGTACACAATTGTACTACACACTTAGTAAGTAAAACAGCCGTAAAAAGATAGCACCGGATGTCACTACAAATTGGAACCAAAACTCGTTAGATATACCGACATTGTCATTTCATTGAATATAACGAAACAGATTAAGTTGATTCGACTCCAATTGTGGCTGGCAACCGTAGAAAAAATTAGCATATTATTCAGGCGCTCACTTAAAACTCAATTCTTGTAAAGAAATAATGCCATAAATAAAGAACAAATTATGATAATGATAGAACCGAAAATCTCTTGCCCAATATTTAGTCTATAATTACTCTACAAGAATAAATAATAATACTAACAATAAAAAAAATGTATTAAGCTGTCAAGTTGAAATAATGACACAACGAATTAGGTATATTCTTAAAATCTTCTATTTTACTCATGATGTTCTTCTTATTTTATTTTAATTTAGTAAATCTATTTAGTTTTTATGGTACGGCTTAAACCTCTTTAATTGCAAAGCATAATACTAAAATTTTCTTCTTACCTAATATTAAAGCAAAGATGTTCAAAAATAGAATGAGACTTCTTATTACCCTAACATTACCCAGCCAAATGTTCCAGTGATTTTAAGTTCAATTATAATTTGAAACTGAGGGTTTAATATTAATACAAGTCTAATAATATCTTATTATTTAATGTTACCCAAGTATTTATGTCAAGTCCAACTAATACCTAATGTAGTTTGTGTCTTGTTTGTACTTGGATTTGAATAATATTATGTTATTACTACATCAGACTTGTTTGTAACTCGCACAAATGAATCAAAACAAATTATTTGAGTACTAGAAGTGATAGTTTTTCAAAATATAGCTGATATGATACAATTCTTAATTAATTTTCTTTCTCTTGATGTCTGTGGTAAATAATGTTTTATGATCATTATATATATTTTTGACCTAATAATTATATCACAATTCAAACACAGATGATTACAAATTGATTAACAACAATTTATGACACACAACCCAGTCTGGTATTTCACATTTAATGTACATATATTTCGATTCATTCCGCTATTAAAAGATACGTGGATCTAATGTTACCAGCTAACAAGAATCAAGATTCATTTCTGTATGAAATTCTCTCAGAAGCGCTTTTTCTATTTTCGTTCCTCATTCATGTCTGCTGACAGCTGTCACAAGCCCAAGTAGATTACACACAGAAATAATAATTACTGTTAACTATGCTAGACACGAAACAATAATTATATAGCATATGTATTTAACGTCGCATATCACAGAATATAATTGAAAGGAAATTACATGAAATGTGATTAGATTAGAAATATAGATGTATGATTAGTAGTTTAAAAGATTAAACATTAAAATAATGATTGTAAATTTAACAGACATTTCTATCTAAGATATAATTAATTAAAATAAAATATTTTATTTTTAGTAAAACGAAGGCATAAAAGATGTTTTATGTTGATGTGGGTACTTTTTAGAAAAAAAAACTGTAACAGCTGATATCTACTATTACCGAGCAAAATGGCAATTTTCTTAAGCACTTTTTTTAAACATTTTATAATATGATACAATACATACATATATAAGATAAAACATTTATGAAAAGTGGCTTGGACAGATATTTAAGTATTTACAGAAAATCAAACATTAGATAGTGAAACTTAGTCTGAAAACGTAACTGGATAATATTTTCCTGCCTCTTAAGGAATGTAGAGGAATGATTATACATAAATATTCATTTGTAACAATGAAAGAAGAACATTACAAGATGTGTTTTGTTTGAGTGTTTTCTGTGCATATTTTGTATGTATTTAAAAAAAAGTAAATAAGTAATGTATCAGTCCATCTAGCTTTCATATTACAAGCTCTGCTTAGTTTGAAACTAGATGTTGTGTGACAGATATCCAAAAGTACTATTAAATGTTATTACTTAAAAATATATTTAATAAAATCAATTTTACCTGTAAAGTCCAGTCTTCGGAGTGTGGCAAATGAATTGCCCGAAATCTCTGGTCGCTTGTGTATGTATACCGGCCTACTGTCAGGAGATGAATGTCTCTGTGCCGTACCCATGATACTTGCATATTCAACTGGAACAATAAAGGCACCATTTATCTTCTTTAAATATAATTATATATATAGTTTTTGAATTATGCACAAACCGCTTCAAAAACTGAAAATTTGAACACGATATATAAACAGCTTGAAAAATGATTTTTAGCTATTATTTTTATTATTAATCAGTTGATATATATAGGGCCTGTTGATAAGTGTGTAGTTAAACGTCGTGTCAGAAATTTATTTTTCGCACGGAGTTTTTTTTTAACACAATTTTTATTTTATTTATTGTATTTATATTATAATTGCCTTGTAAATTAAAAATATGATAATAATATTGTATTGATTCTAAATCTTGTATTGTATCAATCATATTAAATAAACTAAAAAAAATGTCATGAGCACATTAGTTTTTCTGTTTTGGGGCTACTTTATAGACAAAATTCATTTGTCAAATATGATAAAAATATGCATCCATTCTACTGTAACTTAAATCCAGTAATTATTTACGGGTATTAAAGTTTTTGAAGGTCTACTAAAAGTCCTTTATAATAAAACACCAGCGATAATAAGTTTGGTCTATAAATTTTTTACGTAGTTTGTACTTCCATGTCTGTAAACAGTGGGACTTTCAGTGTGACAAGTGCGCATTATTAAATTATTTATTCTCAAATGTCCACCATTTTCTTAGGGGAAGGTTGAAAATACTAGGGTGTTTATATATTGGGACCTTAAACCATTAGCGCTTTATGCAATGCTCTGCCACAAAAAAAAAGTATTTCGAAATAATGGAACCTAGTCTATGGTAAAATTAAAAATAATGCCATTCTTTCCTTTTCTCTTTATTTAAGACGTACAATACTTTAATACTTAAGAACGGCTGGACCAATTTAAATGATCTTTTTTTTTGTATTTGTGTCCGCTCCTCAACAAGACATGGACGATGCACAGAGCTGTTAATAAAAATGCAGATGAACCTGCGGTGAACTACAAGTTATTAACAATTACATACATAAGCGTAATACAATCTATAACAGATTATTTATACGGAGTCCGTGGTGGATATTCGGCACTTACGAATATGGCTAGTAAGTCCGATTCAAGAGCGTCAACTTCAGTCACAGTGTGAACAGACGTGACAGACGTGTTGTTGACCAGACGGAGTCAGTGGGTGCCCAGCACGTTGGTGACGCAAGGTCGCCGCTTGCGAGATATTAATTAACAATTAAGAGTAATAAATCGTGCGAAAACCATACTTCGGCATATATACGGCCTCACAGAAAACCGATGTTCAGCAATTCTTTCGATGCTTTTCATCATCCTTCTCCTGATTCGGAGTGGGGGGGGGGGGGGAGGGACTCAAAGAACGGTAATGCACTGCGATGCCATTAACATCGGTCAAAATATCGGTATTCTACTAACATAAATTCACAGGGTCAGTATACTGTGGATGTAGTAGTAATAGCTCATCAATGGTGATAACATAACCGTATATAGAAAATTAAATATATCATTGCCTTACAAATTTAAAAATGTATCATATACAAAAGTACTACAAAGACATCGACGACATTTGTATAAGTGGCAGTTCAGTGGCAAGTCATAGGCCATTGGTAATACATAGTTAGTAGAATACGAAAAGTGCAAAACTATTTCGACGACATTCCATCGACAGTCTATTGATACACTATAAGAATAGCAGAATTGAGGCCCTGGTGACCCATTTGGTCGTAGAATATTACAGGCACATTTTTTTGTTACAACTATGTATGTCGCCTCATTCGTAGCGACATTATTATTGTGATCTGATAATAATTTCCTTAATATTTTTAATAATCAGTTAAATCTCTGTTTGAATATGTGTATAGATGTTAGCTTACACACGATAAATATTACACAATAAATACTAACACAATTTTTTAAAAGAACAGTAAAAAAATAGTATCTTAACACGCAACAGCACTTTTGACCTGTTTTCGTAACATTTTATTGAAACTCAACTCCTATTGGTTGTAGCATGATGTTATATAGCCTATATCCTACCTCGATGAAAGGGCTATTCAACATTAAAATATTTTTTCAATTCGTACCAGTAGTTCCTGATTCCTCGAACATACAAACTCACAAACTTTACCTCTTTACATATAATAAAAATTATAAGTATAGACTTACACAATCTCATAAATTTTACAAGATTACACATTTATTTATAATACCAAGTCTTCAAAACAAACATATCACATACATCAAATCTTATGTAATCTACTCGGATTATCTCCAAAAATTTACTTTTCACCCAGATATTTGGACGGCCTTTGATATTTTTAAAAGGAAATGAGGTAGTTAACGAAAACTCATTTAGGTTTGACGTTCAAGAGAAAAACTTGTGATTTCACATTAAAGATAGCTTGTGGCCGAGCGGGAAATGGAATCGTTAATGGCATAACATCTTTACTTGTATAGCACCGTCATTAGCATTAGTTGAGTTACAAAGCTTTGTATTCATTTCACTGCAGCTACCATTATTGTTCCTAATGAAGGTAGGTTTTGTTTTTTATTTAGATGTTTCACTATCTTCCGGATGACGGTATTCATTAATTGCTTCTTCTGTTTTATTGTGGTTGAGCATATTTTGTGGTACTTCAGGACAAAAAAAAACATACTACTTTCAAATGGCATCGGGTATCGAGACCTTGTGTCAATAATCACTGCTTTTTGTGATTACAACTCGATTGTGTCGATCAGAATCAGTCAGAGTTCACTGAAACTGACTGATTTTGATAAACTTTCTACTGTGCCGAGTGTTGTGTTTGATCCCTACGTGGGACAACACTGTGTGTGATCCACAAATTGTTGTTCTGAGTCTGGGTGTACTTTGTGACCATGTCATTAATGTTTGAAAAGTCCCCCGCGACACAGGATATGTTCAAGGTGCGGCAGTTGTCTTTTAAAAAGTAAACGTAAAGTAAGTAAGTAGAGCAGCGTTATATTAAAATATACTCTAAGACTGTGAGTGATAATACAATATTTCATTATGATTTCATCTCGTACAAATACGATCCCATTTATGAATGCCTAAATGAAGCACACAAATCTCGTTAGCCATCCCTTTTATTTATGTGAGGATGTGGCGACTCAGCCTAATGAGACTTTTATTTATAAAGTTGTGCACACAATACCGACTTTAAAGTTTCATTGTGCTATTGTTACGTTTTCATTTTAAGCGAAGAGTTTGTGGTACACCGCAATGTAAATTGGACGATGCCTGTTGAAATAAGGGGGACTCGTTAGTACCGGTATGTGTACTCTATTTTACTCATATATACATATGTCTGTATTGTTAAGACGAGTGCTCATTGTAAGTGCGTTGGCGTGGTAATAATGTTGTGAAGTAATTTGACTTGACGGATATAAGTTTGTGACGCCAATTTTATGGTACGAATCATTCTGGCAGCTTGTTGGGAACTTTCACAAGTTTGTAATAGGCACTTACATATAAGAAACCTCAGAAAATTCATCACTACTACAGAAATTTACGGGTAAAAACTTAAAGGAGTTTGTGAATAAAATTTGGTTATTTATTTATCATAAACGTGTGTATATACAAATAGCATACAAGACAATATTCATAGTTGTTACACAACTAGTATTACAAACACTTAAAGGTAAACACATTATAAATTTGCTAGTTGACTATTTAGAATTTTTGGAAATATTTATTTTTACTGTAAATAATAAATCTTATGCGTTCTCAATAAGTCTCTTTATTATTTAAATATCTATATATTATCTATATTATTTACCACCTCTAAAAAAGATTCAACCCACAAAACAACACTTTGAGATAAAACCTCTATATGACACAGTTTTATTCGGCTTTATGGTCCTAAAGCGTCAAGGGAATAAATATTTACTACAGCATGTTAAGAAAAAGGTTCCGTTTTGTTCCGTAGCCCTATATATATAAATTAGACGTTCACAGCTACCCATCTTCAAACTCAATTAATAGGCAAACGCTCAAATAAAGAAACTCGTTTTACTCATTCAGCGAGTGTTCTTAGATCGAAACAAATTATGTATCTTAAATAGAACCGAAGGTAAAGAGATAGAAAGCCGTGGGAAACGGAATGCACGAGTACAGGAAGAAATTACATTTGAGTATACTTGAAAAGGATGACAGTTAATGACTAAATGCCTAATGAAATTCAGTATAAATGTAAATCAGCTAAATAAAATAATCGGAATAATACGGCGTAAGTATTGCTTTAAATGCAATATGTTAATAATAATACATATTAACTAAAGAAATGTTAAAGAATGTAGCATAAATAAATAAAGCCACATTTACTGACGTATAAAACTAAAAACTACTGACATACTATTACAAAAGGAATCCCAGAAAGATAGAATATATCCGTTGCTTCGGACATAAATCTAACCGGGCACGTGCAACCCGTCGTGATGTTATCCCTTAGCTTTCATCCTGAGCATCATTTCACGCGTGTCATAAACTTAAGATGAAAAACTTACTGGTATAAACTTTGTTTGTTTTTTTCGCATTTGGAATTTGGAAATTTCGCAAGATTAGCTATTGTATTAATAATAGTAACTTGTATTCTGTTATAGTCTAGGTATGTTTGGAGTTTGAAGTACAAATATCTGTATTGTGTAACTAAATGAAATATTCTTTTTTTTTTAAATAAAAGGAAAGGTTATCTGTATTCTTGCCTTTACTAGTCCACTGCTGGATATAGGCTTCTCCGTAGAAAGGAGGTTTTGACCATTTCGGTGTGATAATTAATATTTTTTTATCTAGATCTCATATTTTAAAAGCACTCTTATATTACTTACTGTTTTATTTCCTAAATTCTTGACCCGGCAGTTCAGGTATGCTGTTTTGCCGAGTAACGCAGTGACGTTTTTGGAAGCCATGAGGTCGAAGTAAGGCCCAGTACGTGGCGTTGGCCTCGGGCCGTCCAGAGCGACCCCGGGCCGGATTGCGTTGTCCACGGAACCGGCTGGTGAGGCTGTGGCTGAAGCGTTTGTTGGTAAACCCTTGCCAAGCTCTCGCTGAGCTGATGATACTGTAAAAAGGAAAGAAATATCATTTAAAAAACTGTTTTCTTCTAGAGAGGATGGAAGATACATCGTTTGATTAAAGAAAACGCTGTCAATAACGTAGTGTTGTATATTCATTGGTAAGGATTTTGAAATACGTACCTAGATAAACATGTACAATCACAATGTTAATCAACAAAAAACACATTTCTTTTGTATTGCGTCTTTAAATAACACCGATAATTATTATGTACCTATTCGAAAATTAACGTGATCACATAATAGGTATTCCTTACATAGTTACCTGGTGTTTTGATCGGGTTGCATTAGCCAATACAAGTAGAATATGTCAACTGGTAATTTAAGTTTTGATTCAAAAAAATATAAAAATATTCTCTACGGTCTAAAAATGGCTTTGTTTTGCCTACGTATATCCGTTAATTCAAGGTCACTTGCCCTTGTAACCCCTTTAAATAAAGTGTTGCAAAGTACTGAAATAAATTATCAGTGACAACTTTATTATGCATGTCTGCTGTAGTGAAAACTTCGTAAAACCAATCACGTGTGTGAACATCACTTTAATGGGTGACATCAGGATAGGGAGCCAAAGCAACTTTTTATATAGCTGATGTAATAAAAATAAGTGTTAAAACTTTTTTTTACTAAATATTTTTACCGACATCATTAGAAGGGGTAGCTTCTCAATTCGGTTATATTTTTTATTAATAAACCGTTTTGAAACCCTTTTTCACTTTTTTATTAGGAAGGGTTTGTATTTTTGTTTTTTTTTTGTATTGTTTGGGTTTTGTATTTCTTGTTTGATCAAATTCAAGTTAAAAATAAAACCAACGCTATGGGTGAAAAAATAAAGAAAAATACAGTATATAATATTGTACGTGTCCATGTGGATTCGGATTAAGAATACGGAGTGTCACCACTCCTATTCATCCCGTGGGTGTCGTAAGAGCCGACTAAAGGAGCAAACTACGCAGGACAACAGCACTGAAAAAGAGAAAACTTGAAACAGCACAGCGAAACCGTGGCGGGTCGCTAGTTTACTAATAAAAGCATTTTATTCAATGAAACTTTCAAGTGTAAGTGTAGTTAAAACGACAAAGGTATATGATAAAATTGAGAAAAAAGATATTGTTTTACGAGCAGAAGCATACACGTGTTACAAAGAGACAACTTCATAAGACAATATTAGAACAAACAAGAAAACTAGCTCAGTTATTTTACTGCTAACATGTTATATTCGTTGTGCAACCTCGTAACAAAGTACTTTTACAGAGGTAAGGAGTACAGGGGCACTAACAGTATTTTAATGCCTAATGTTTTTAAGCTCTTAAGAAATTGTTTTGTTAGTTTGTCTTCACAGAGATGTTAAGGTGCTTTTGAATTTAATAAGTTTTACTGCCTCACAGAAAAGTCGTAACTTCTAACCGAGTGGGTAAGGTTTTAGAGCCCCCAGTCAATTCCCCCCTCTGATTATTGCTGCAAAGGGCGGCAACGCACTTGTGACTCTCGAGTTGCAGGTATACTGGTGCGGCGGTAGTCACTTACCATCAGGTGATCTTTTGAAGTGAAACTTTTTAGAATCGTTGGGATTTGAAACTCGATGAATCGAAAATGCGTCACGATAAAGGAACAAACACATAAATGTATAGGATTTAGTCGACGAGAGAATGAGATAGAATACATTACACATAATTTTTAATATAAATTTTAATAGTGTGAATATTTTTATCTTTTTGTTTAATACTAGCTGGTACCCGCGACTTTATTGGCGTGGAATTTTAAAAACGCTGCCTTAGTGGGTTCGATTCCTGGGCCGCTTGGAATTTTATAGGCTTTTAAGATAAAAAAATAGCCTAAGTTACTCCTTATATAGATAAGTGGTAGTAAAACATTATCAAAATTAGCCCAGCTGTTTAGAAGATTACCCGGAACAAACAAACAGATAGGCAATAAATAAATAAACTGGTTTTTAGGCATTAACCGCGTGAACATGAAAAAAAACTAATATTTTGACATTACAAATAGACACTTCAATTTTATTTGTTTGTATAGAAAGTATTTGGCGTGTGTGAATTGCACACACACAGTTTTTTTTCGTTTTTTCTGTGCGAAAATCCCCTCGGATACCACCACGGATGGTTATGTCGGACTAGAACCTACCAAAAACCGAACGCCGTCTCGGGTAGCAGTTGCCCGACGCACCTCGGATCATCTACGGCGTATAGATGACCCCTCCTGTGTGGGAACCATCAGGTGACCTATCTGCTCCTTTGACCTTTTATACCATAGCAAAGCATAACTTACGTAAAATATTGGCTATATTATTATAAGAGATTTAAGTATAGTAATACGTTGTGATGCAGATAAACAAAGTAATAACTACACAAAATTGTACAAGTTTAAATCTACAAGACACATCTTATTTCTAAATGTAAAAGTTTTTTTATTAGTTACACCAGTAACGGAAAAGTTTCCAAACCTACTTTATCAAATAAATTTATCATGTTAGAAGGTCCCAAATTGTTCTCACTTTCCGTATCCCCGATGCTATTAACACACATGATAATAAACTAGAAGGCTTCGCTATTGTTATTGCTGGTCTTTTAGAATATCACAAAACGACCAAATATAAAGGATTGGATGAAACAAACAATAAACTCAAACAAGAAAGGGTTCTTTGGTAATTTTATAGCGGAAACCTTAGCATATTTTTTCAAACATTTCCAGGGAGACATCAAAACTTTTTGTAGATGAATATTTTCTTTTTCTGTTAAGTGTTATGACTAGTGTCCACTTCTGGATGATAGAAGGAAAACCTATCTTAGTTTGAACTTGACGTCACCGAGGTCAACCAAGGAAAAAAAAAGTTACTCATAGAATTCTGTTTTCGTTTTTTATCTTCAAGTTTTTCGTACTCATCGTTCAGAAAATCGTGAGAACAGATTAAACTATTTACAAGAACCATTTCATTTTATTTTTTCACGTAACCGGTATTTGTAAAAAGCAATCATGTTTAATGTAAAAAGTTCAGACGTTTAGGTTGAAATACATGATGTATCAAAATAAGTCCAGCTGTCATCCATTTTATTTAGATTTCCCATTTCGACCAGATACCAGAATATAAGACATTCATGAATGTTAATCACCAGACTGAGACTTAAGACAATTTGAACTGTTTAAGTTTCGCTTACATTTGATACCGAGATACACAAAGTCATTTAATAAACATATACTTAAACTAAACTAGTACGCATTGCAGATACCGCAATGAAATGGTTTCTAGTTGGATACTTTTTGCAGCATCTGGAATTATATCGTGCTTGAGTTTTCTTGAAATTCTCGAAATGAAACAAGATTTTTTTGCGATGTAAGAGCTTAAATGCTAAAGAAGCCAAATAGGGAGCATTTTAAGCGTACTTTATGAAAATAAAATACAGCTAAAACGTAGTGAAATGTTAAATAAACTAAATGAAAACAGAGTTTTAAAAAAAAACGACCTTAATACAAAATAGAGATTCAAGATCAAGACTGATTAAACATTTACAGAAACACTAAAAACTGAACGACTATTAAAAAGACTTCACTCGCTATGCGATAATAAGTCATGAAATGTAAAAGCCGATAATCCAAACACCCGAGATATAAAACAAGGCAATGGATAGCGGTAATAAAACCAACCATTACCAAAGTAAACAATATTAGAGAAAGAGTCGTGGCTATAAATCTTGACAGTAATGCCCAAACAGCGATAGCCGGCCAAATTGTGGCGAAAGAAAGCAAAATATACGTAATACGTAAGTTAGATTACGGTGTGTCTTGTCGTTCGAAGATTGCCTTCAGATAGTAAAATAGTATACCTATTCTTAAAATAATATTTTGGTTTGAATTACTGGTTACTAAAATAGTTCGTTGGTCTTTTAGATGGACAGATAGATAGGTACTCTTTATTTCACACCATGACTAGGAACCATACAACATAGAATACAAACATAAAATTAGAGATACAATCTTACAGATAACCTTTAGATGGGCTATGCTATGTAGTCTTTTAATACATGTCTTGCTTCATTATAAGTCCAGAACTAAAGAAATTGGAATTTAGATATTTTTATTCGCCTGTTTATTGAAATAAAAGCCTCTATATCTCATTTAAGTTCACCTGATTAAATAATCCTCAATACATCCGTATTAGCAATATCCCATTCCTACTGTTGCTTTCTCAAGCAGGGACTTCTGAAGGACTAAGGAATCTACCTTTCCTTGTCAATATACATTTAATCTTCTTAACTAATACATACAGTGCTCGATTTGCGGCAAACGGCTTACCACTACTATTCTAGTTTCATTAAAATTATAAAATAATGGCAACATTCGGGAACCTATCACGTCTTTGTTTACTGTGAGTAATATGTAAGTTTAAAACTCTAAAGTGAAAGCCTATTTTTTTAAATGGTTCAAGTTCTATCATTGGTGTAGTGAAAACCTTTCTGAAGAATATTTAACTTGGTGTTATCAGAACATAAAGGTAAACATAAATATTGTTACAATACAAAAGTTTAAAACAATAAAGATTTATTCGTCCATTAGAGCAGAACGATATAATTGGGTGTTTCCTATCCATTGTGCTCACGTCTTTTCAACATATAAACGCAAACAATAAAGCGGCGTCTCATTTTGGCAATGCTATTGTCGGTAATTAATTGGTATCGTCTGTCAAAAGGTTGCAAGTGCTTGAATAACACACATTTTTTATATTAGTTAGAGATTTTACTATCTTGGCCTATTTACATGAAATAATACATGTTTACTATTGTGTTTAATTCGAATTTCATATAATTTTGTATGTTTCCCTTTTTTCAATGACCTATTTCAAAAGTTAAATATCTAATACTTTAAATTATATGTATGTGAACTGGATATTAGAAAATACCGAATAACAGACGGGGAAAATAGGGTTTTTCATCCACTGAAGATACATCCACAGTTATCGTACCTAAATATGAAGAAATCTATAAAATACCGATAACTGGATTTCGGTGATGCCGATGTCATACTTAATCACATTTACTATAAGCTAATTATTGAAAATAAAAACGATAAAATCTGTTGATTTTAATTTTATAATTTTCATATACAGTATCACTCTCACAATTAAGACAAAAACATTTATTTTATTGTAATTGAACTGACATTTCTGATTTTATTAAACCACAACCACAATAAACTCAATAAACAAATAAAAGGTGCATGCAATTCAAGTGCAGGCCCTGATTCCCAAATTTGCGTGACTAATATTACCATTTTATTTCAGGATGATTTCATTCACTTATTAGATTATTCCACCTATTTCTAGAAAAAGTTTAGTTGACTTAATATATTCAATAGTATTAATAGTATTTTATCAGCTCGCAATGAAGTGGTCGAACAGCTGAAACGAACATTAATTCGAAATTTACTGCATGCTTGAGCATAGCTCTAGTGGCTGTTTATACCTGTATGAATTTAAAACGTATTAATTATGAACAACACGAATATTGACTACGAAGCATTTCCAATAACGGCTGACCTAAAAATTCAAGTGTATGATTTATTTTGTTTAAGCTATAGGTAGGTAGTCAAATTTATTCATGAAACGGCTGTAGGTTATTAATACTTCTATACTTATAATATAAAGGTTAAAGTGAGTTTATTTGTTTGTTTGTTACGCTTTCACGCCTAAACCATTAAACTGATTTAAAAAAATCTTTCACCAATGGAAAGCTACTTTGACAGCGAGTAACATAGGCTACTTTTTACCGCAATAACCGGCATAAACGCAGGCGGAAATGCGGGCAAAAGCTAGTATATATTAACTGTGTAAGTGAGTTTATTTCATTATTACGCTTACACGCCTAAACCACTTAACCGATTTTAGAATTTCTTACAGGAATGGAAAGCTACATTATCAGCGAGTAATATAGGCTAGGCGGGGGCGCAGGCAAAGGCTAGTTGGTTAGTAAAAGAAAAAAAGAAAGAAGGGAGTATATTAACAAAATTTAAAAGTAACGGCATAAGTAATAAACCAGACATTGCAATGCGATTTTAAAATTTGGAATTTTATTGTTAATGTTACGGCTGCCTACACTTAGTATCCATGGATTAGCCTTTAATTCACAAAAATAACATTCTTATTATCATAGTTTTATACAGTAAGTAGTAGCGCTTACAAAAACATTTTTATAATAAATTCATGAGTGCAATAAACTGGATTCTAGATTACCCGCACAGCAGAGCATTGCACTCATCTATTTTATTGGTAATACAAGATTACCAGATCAAATATGTAATCGAGTATTTCATAAATCCAATCTGTGGTACATGGTATAGTGAATATTATAAATAGGTCCAATTTTACGAAATCTCATTTGTAGTCATCAAATAGACTAAAAATCTATGATCTTTCTAAAATAGTTTTAAGTCAACATGAAATTTCCATACCTGAACTTCCATTCACTATGCGTTCTCAAAATCTTAAAACTTTGTTTGCACATATCAGAGGAGGTAGTCTATTACTTAATTATTATCTTTTGTCAGTTCAAAAAGTAGTTACAATTTTTTACAATTTATTAAGCCAACATACCAAAAATACAGTTTAGTTTTCAAACGTGCGGCATTTGGCTTCGTACTTAGATTTTGAGGCCGAATTTTTAGTTAGGCGTATACAAAATCCTATACATTTTAATCCAAATACGAAAGCTTTTCTAAATCAGTCTATCTTAAAATAACTAGAATGCGTAAATTATACGGGGATTAGTGAGGACAACGAGGATTAGAACGTTCGACAGGGAAGGAATAAATGGGAAAACCTATTAGGGAATGACATGATTTACTTTTTGGTATCCTATAATTTGTAAAAAGAAATGGGTGGAATAAAGAAGAAAGGAGTTGGAAAAGATAATCAAAGACAAGGTTTTTGCGATTTATATCCTGATACAGATCTATTACGAAAAGACTACTTTGATAAATAAATGTATTCTTAAGATATTAGTAGTTTTAAACTAGAGCTTTCAGATATTCATTTTATACATGTTTTAAGTATTTAGGGATAAATTGAGATTATTTTTTATTAAAGTTCATGTTTGATTTTTAGGATAAACTTACAGACGCTAAAAAGTTAATTGGAAAATTTTACTTGCGATTCATTTGCCAAGCTTGCGGGTTCGCGGTGCTCACAGGTTTTTGCAACGATAATCAGTAATATTGGCCATCTTCGAGTAGTCGAATCAATGAAATCCATGAAGAAAACTTCAGTAACTCCCACAGAATATAACAGTAGTTAAGCTACATATCTGTGCTAGCTGTGTAGTGTTTTACGTTTTTCTAGTTTGACTACTTTAGCTCAATAGATATGCATTTCGGCGACCGACGAGTTCAATAGCTTGCAAAACTCTAGTATCAGCTATTAAGTTGCGAGTATTAATAAACACAAGTAATTTTCAGTCCGGCTTTGTTACGTAAAGTTTTTAATAAGTTACATACCTATATCATAAAGCAAACGATAGATAATGTAAACACCCATTGAAATTCCAATATTTATTATCAGTATGGTATCTTCTGAATAATTCTTCATTATTACCTGAGTGCCCATCTTGAGTAAAAAGTATCACGAATGTTTTCTGTTAACGCCATTATCCAATGTATTTTAAACTAACTGGAACTGGAATTTGGAAAGCGCTGCCTTAGTGGTGTAGTCCATAGACTGCAGTCCATGAGGTCTTGGGTACGATTACCGGACCGGACAAAATTTTAATAGGGTTTTTCTGAGAGGAAACATAGCCTAGGGTACTCCGTAAATAGACAGCTACCTGCTAGTAAAATGTTATAAAAATTGGTACAGCTGTTTTAAAGATTATCCGGAACAAACAGATAGATAGATAAAAAAATATTGAAACTGGTTTTTAGGCATAGGTAGCGTGCACATAACCG